AGAAGGATTCAATTGCACGGTCATTCCAATTTGAATAGGTTCTTTCACAACGTCTCATTTAGCTTGGATAACCGTGACTTGCTGCTACACGACAACAATGGTTTGTGGATGTCCTAAAAGGTTTCAATTAACCTTTATTAATAGGAAGAATTAAATTGTGGAATTTAATTCGTATATAATTTCTGAGGAGTTAAGTCAACCCACTACATTGCTAAAGGAAACCTACGGATCTGCACACCCAAAGAATGTGATTAGAGGTACAAATGAGGAGACACAAGTCAATGGTTGATAATCGAATGTCAAAGTCAACAGTCAAAAGTCAACATGTTGACTGGAGCAATTGACCAAAGTCAAATAGTTTGACCGGGTCAATTAAGTAAGACTATAATTATAATTTAATAGTTAAATTATAATTAAAAGATTAATTATGGAATTAATATTGACATATAGAAATATTGGATTGGGCTTTTAAATATGATTCAAAAGGAAAGGGACAACATAACCCAAAAGGCTATTGGGCCCAAGGGATAAGTGGCATAAGATGACCTGACCCATGGACCAAATGGAGCCCCAAATACCCACCCAATTTCCTTTTGTGTTGTCCTATATAAGCTAAGTGTTGGAGAAAACCTAGTTAGGGTTTTTGGTTTTCCTACTTTGGTTGATGAGTGATCATCTTTGTATCTCATCTTCCATAAACCAAAAATTGGTCCAATCAAGAAGTAGACTAGTGTTGAGGCCAAAAAAAGTCATGAGAAGCCCAAAGACATTTAAAGCACAATATAACATATAATGTTGGTCATGTGTTAATCCAAGCTGTATTTTGGGAATTAATTCATTAAATAAATATAGAAATAGTGTGCATGCCATGCCAAGCAAATAATACATTTTTCATATGTCAATCACCTACCAAGCTCACATGATCCCAAGTCATGTGGTTTACGGGGCTTGCACGAGAGATTGTGGTGTGGAAGGTTACGAAGGTCCACAAGGCCAACGGAAGCTCTTGGATAATGGAGACTTTAGGCTAGCTACTTGAGAGCACCAAAGTCCAAGCCCATTACTTAGAGTTCTCCAATGTGGGTGAGCAAATGAGATATTTTTCCAGCACTTCCTTTTACCCATAGGAAATAGTCATTTTCCAAATGCCTAACTTTACCCGTTGGAAACAAGCCTTTTCCAGCACTCCCTGTTACCCACCGTAAACAAGTCAATTCCGACACTTCCTTTTACCCATAGAAAATAGTCATTTTCCAATGCCTAGCTTTACTTGTTGGAAATAAGAATGTCCCAATGCTCCCTTTTACCCGTTGGAAATAGACTAGCTCCAACACTTCCTTTTACCTATTGGGAACCAAAGAGAGCCTTCACCTTCTATAAATTGGGAGGCATTGCCCAAGCAAAATAAACATCTCTTGGTTGCTGCAAGCCACCCAACAACCATGAGAACTCACCTTTCTTCAGCTATTGCAAGCATTCCAACAGCCATCACAGTCGTTCTTCAGCCATCAAGCACTACAAGAAAAATAACTTATGACAACATGTAATCAACAACGTGCATTCATATGCGTTGTGGAACAATATTTTTAACAACCCGCAGAAGCAGCATGTTGTATTATACAATTTATAACAACGTGCGTGTATAGCGTGTTGTCAAAATATAGAATAGAGCTATTTTCACAACGCGGCCTTGCATGTTGTAGTAGTTTTAAGTTCTACAACGCACGAAGCGTGTTGTCAAAATTATATTAATTTATTAAATAAATAAAAAATTGGCGGAAAATAGTGGGTTGTTATATTCTCTCTTTTTTCTTCTTCTTTTCTCTTCTCCCTGTGCCACCGACAGTCTCTCTCTTTCTTTCTCTTTTTCTTTCTTCTCTTTCTCTTTCTCTTTTTTCTTGTTTTCTCTCTTCCCTGTGCGGTGCCGACACTCTCTCTCTCTCTTTTCTTCTACCTCTTTTTTTTTTCCCTATCCCTCTCTTCTTCTCCCTACGTTATTTCTGGTTCTATTTTTTTTTTCAAATCCCTTTTTCTTCTTTCTTCTTCCATATGAATTTATCTTGTAGATCTTGTACATCTGGGTTCAATTCTTGTATATTTGGAATCAGATTCCAAACCGTCAGATCACTAAAATTAAAGGATATTTAGCCTTTCTGTGTTCAGATTTGATTCTGTCTGAATCGTTTTTGTGTTTCATTTTTTTGCTAGATAGGTTTAGTCAAATCCATCTTAAAACAGAAATTTAAAATTTATTTCTTCTCTTGTAGGAATTACAAACATGGTTATGGCACTAGCTGGGAATAAAGCAAATCTGGTCGAGGCAAGGACCGTAGCAGCAGAGGTAAGTTATTATTTTTCTGCTTTGTTTTGTTTTCGTATTGGTTAAATTTCTATATCACTCATCATTTTCCTGTCAACAATCCTTTGTTCTTGTGATATGGATGATTGCAAGCTATCTTTTTCTTCTTTTCTTTGTTAACAATGTTAATTATTAGTTTTGAAAGTTTAAAGAGAGATTTTTAGTTGTTTCCTTGAAAAATTAAAGAGAGATTTTGACATACTTCAGTTAGAATCAAATAGCTCCAGACATGGAGATATATATCCCAGCCAACAACTGACACATAACTTGTATTCTTATCCATAGAAAGACATAATTGCTTTGAAAATTCTAATTTCCATTATTGTTAATATTTGATTGGCATGATTGCTGTGAATGATGGCCCTACTGCGCAACCATATCCCGAGAGTTCTCAAAAAGCACTTTAGGGGAAAGCCCTACTATGTGGATCTGCTAGATTTATTTAATGAGGTAGGGATGTCTTTACATAGACATTAGACCAGCATGTCTGAGGTAGATTTATCTAGTTCTTGTTAATATTTTATTCACATAGTGGGAACTCTTGGAGTGTTTTGTTTGGAGTGTTTTGTACAGCATGTCTGAGGTAGGATCCCAAAGTTCTGTAAAAACAGAAACAATCAATAATGGGGTAAAAACAAAAACAGAAATCGCGGATAATGCGTGGCACAAATCACCATGTCTGCGGTAAAAACAAAAACAAAAATCGCGGATAATGCGGGGCACAAATCACCGTTAATGCTGTAAATCACGTATATAATGTAGGAATTACAAAACATTTTTTCGAAGTTCATTTGCACCAATTAAAAAAGATCATCATAACCATGGGTGGCCTTGCTTCTCCCTGTGGAGCCTGCAAGTTCTTGAGAAGAAAATGTGTCGAAGGGTGTATTTTTGCGCCTTATTTCTGCTATGAAGAGGGACATACCCATTTTTCTGCCATCCACAGGATTTTTGGTGCAAGCAATGTGTCGAGGCTTTTAGCAACCCTTCCGTTGAGCGATCGATGCGAGGCCGCAACGACGTTATGGCATGAAGCTGAAGCCAGGCTTCAAGATCCCATATATGGTTGTGTTTCACATATTTTTGCTCTCCAACAGCAGGTTAATCATTTAGTACCCTTTGTATGTTCAGATTGGGTTTCTGTTCAGATTGGATGTTGAAGTAACTGATGAGTATATGCTTTTGGTTTGAACTTTTCAGGTGGTTGACTTACAAGCACAGTTAGCTTTCCTCAAGGATCAAGCAGCTCAAAGCTTTGTCAATGGCTCTGCTGTAGCAAACCCTAATCAAGCAGCTCAAAGTTGGTTTCATGAGTTAGAAAATTCATCCAACTACATGCCACAATTCAATTCAACCCACATCAATAATCCTGGAACTACATCATACTATGAGAATGAAATTAGGCAATGGGATGAATACAACAAGCAATGGGGTTTTCAGGATGCTGATGAGCTTCAATCAGTGGTTTCCAGCTACATTCACAATTAGAATAATTGGGATGAATATAACTCTATAATACGTATATGAAACTCCTTATTTATCTTTTGAATGAAAGCTTTGTATTCTGGGATGCCTTATGAATGTGAAGTAAGGAAATATTTATGTTTATCATAGAGCTTCTATTTATAGATAAATTATACTTTTATCAGGTAATTTTGATAATTATTTTAAAAAAACATATATATTTGATATAACAACGCTCATTGCTTGTTGTCAAAACATAAACAACAACGAGCACAGACATGTTGTCATAATATTATAAGACGACACGCTCGGCACGTTGTTGTCAATCGCTCCTACAACGTGCGCGTGTTGTGGTTAATGTTGTTCACAACGAGCGCCAAAATAAACGACAACGTTCAACGCATGTTGTCGAAAGCCCTACACCTTTTAACGCCCCTTCATTTTACTGCTGCAAGCAACACAGCAACCATTGACCAATTTTTCTTCAGCCATCAAGCCCCCTCATTCGGCTGCTGCAAGCAACACAGCAGCCATCAACCCCATTTTTCAGCCATCAAGCCCTTCCTTTAGTTGCTGGAGCAGCACAACAACTTCTTGCTTTGGCTGCTGCAAGCATCCCAGCAGCCATCAACCCCCTTCTTCAATCATCACACCTCCTTCCTAGCTATTGCAAGCACCTCAGCCATAACCTCCTCTCCTTGAAATCCATCATCTTCTCTATAAAGCCTCACCAAGCATAACTCCAAGCTTTTCCTTTCTTCCAAGCTATAAACACCATAGCCTTCAAACCTCAAGCTTTTCCTCCCATCCTCATTCTCTTGAAACTCTTAAATCCCTATAGCCATAGCCACAAACAATAAATTCTCAACACCCAAACTCAAGCATATCAAACACGAAGCCAAGCACAAGCATTCTCATTTGCTAAACTTGTGGGTCTTTAGCTCCCACACTCCAAGCTCTCATGCCAAGCTCATATAATCTCAGATCAACATCAACAAGTCATCTTCAATTATTCATCAAGTTGTCGGAAACATCAGCAAGTCATCTTCAACTCTTCGTCAAGCTGTCGGAAACATCAGCACCAAACATGCAACCACTGGAAGAAGAACAGAGTACTCCCCTGGGACATGCTTCTCCCTCGGGATGCTTTGGGCCTAGTTCTCGCTAACTCAGAAAAAGGGGCAACAAAGGCTTGATTCATCACTCTGTGGAGGTCCAAGAATCAACAAGCCCGAACGAGCCTTCCGAAGGAAAAAGACCCCAACATTTAGCATCCGTACTTCTTGATTGTCTTCTCTTCATCTCTATGAGCATTTGGTGTTGTGAGGTAGAGGACTCCAATCTTGGAGTCTTAAGGTGAAGGAATCAAAATCAAGAGAAACAAAAAGGCATTTCCAACAAAGGTGTTCATTCTTGAGAAATCAAGAAAAGGTCATCAAGGGTAAATATCTATTCCCTTTTTTCTTTTTCTATTTGTGTTCAAAGAGACTAGGCTAAGGTACTTGGTTTAAAATGAAAAAGGTTTAGCTCAACTAGTATAAACAAAATGAATATGCCATTTAGAATGTTTTTGTTGTATAGGTTGTGGCTAAAGTTCATTTCCTAAGCATTAGATGCATGTTTCCTTCACCATTTGCTCTTTATAGTAGCCCAGGCCCATCTGTAGCTGCTGGAACAAAAAAGCCCCTACAACTTTCAACTATAAGGGAAACTTTTTTTATTGTACAAGGTAAAATATCGGGGAAAATTGAAAAAAAGAAAAAGAAAATGTGAAAATGAAAAACCAAAAAAGAGGTTTGGTGGATGACAAACCCAGTTTTGTTTTTGGTCAAAGTTACAAACCTGGTTTAGTCTTCTCATAAACAAATGGTTGTAGGTCATCGTCTTCTCATTCTAGTCTTGGGTTTGTTTTGGTTCGCTCTATGGTTGAATTAGGGGCATAGACAAAAGATCTTGGAGTCTTAGAAGTTGTTGATACAAAGGGGATTTGGGGGGCTTTTTAGGGATCGTGTAGGGTGCAAGGAGGGGGGCTTTGAGGATAAGTGTGTGTGGAGGGGTTACACGAAAAATCCAACAGAAAAGTCCAAGAAAAGACACAAGATCCATTTCATCATATATATATATATTTTTCTTGCTATGGAATTGCTCATCTGATTTGAAAGTTAATATTATTGTGGCGGTGGTGGGTTTGGGACTGGGAACCTATTGTAAGAAAAGCGTTTACGATCAGAGCGAAGGGGATGAAATAGGAATTGCAACTACTTTTGTGTGTGGTTATCTTCTCCTATTGATTAACATCCTTCAAAGTTTGCATTATATTCCTTCTCTCCATGTGTGTGGGACTAGTGAAATCATTCCTGTCATCACAACTCTTTCTTCTACTTCTTCAAGGTTGGTGGGATATCGGGGCTGGGAAGGGTGACTGCGAGTATAAGGGCTAGGGGGAAAGGGGTGTGTGTGCATTGGAGGGGGATGTCGGGACTGGTTAAAGTTAGGGGGTGGGCTTTTGCTTTTTTATTTGTTATTTAATTTGTAATTTGTAATTTTAAAAACTACAGCGCGTGTGAGAAATGTGTGGCATTTTGATAGAAAATTGGTTGGAATTCGAAAAACTTGATGATGAGGGCATAATTTTCTATTTCTTACAAGTTTGAGTTTTAAATTGGTAGAAGATAATCGAGAAGTAAAGTCATATTAGAGTGATAGTTGAGGGGTTAAACAGTTGTTTACTCATTGGTTGTGTTTGGTTCATGGGAAATGAGGCTTGGGGATGAGAAATTAATTGTTTTCCCATGTTTGGTAAGTCCAAGCATGGGAAATGATTGCCTGGCATACGAGAATATAAGGGGGAAAATATAACACTCCTCCCCTCGTGGGTTTCATTTTCCATTCCCATGGGAAATTTTGGGAAAATGGGCCAGCATGAAATGCACATTTTTCATGACCATTTTGTCCCCATTAACAATTTAGAATTACAATATAACATCAAATGCATTCTTTTTATATTTGATTTCATATGGATATGATTGAAAAGTTACGAACATTGTTTTACATTCCTATGCAAACCAAACATGAGAAAGGAAATAAAGTGGTATTTCCTAGTTACTTTCCCAGCGTTACTTGTAAACCGCGTATCCTTCTCTTATAAGTAATCTGTATTTAGGCTGGGGCTTGAGCTTGTATCTAATCCCGTGGTTGGGCAATCTTCGGAGGAAGATCTGCACACTAGGAATAGTATCAGAATAAAGGCGAACTGGGGTTGATCCCAGTCGTGCCCTCTCCGATGATTAATTCAGTGACTAGTATTAAGCCAAGAAGAGTGGATGTAGGGTTTTCACAATGAGAGTATTTATTACATTTGTTCAGAGATTGGTGAAGGGTATTTATAGGAGGGAGATGGTCATCCAGATCTTTAATGAAAGAGATCTTTATCCTCTGGATTGTGTTACGTTTAATGTTCTGCCTCTGATCAACCTACTTCCTTAATAGGGATCAGGTGGCGAAGTGACAGGCGAACATGGATGGGAGGTGCATTGAATGTTCTCTCTCCATCACCAGCATGTCCACCTGGAGATCGAAGGGTAAGGCGACATCTGGCTAAGGATGGGATGTGCATCAACCGACCTTTCTCCTTTGCCAGGCTGCTTCATTAATGCCCTATTGGTTTGGGATAGAGAGCTATAGTGGTCGGGTCGGTGGCTGGACCTCCGATCACTGGTCCAACCCCTACTTCGTCATACCCTGTTATGAGGATCGGGTCGGTATATAATTGACCTAGCCTGCTACAACCACGTGGCGATTTATAATACGCTCGGCTCGGTGTGACGGTATGAGTTATCAACATTACTAAACATGGAAAATGGCATTTCCCATCCCTTGGGCAGATCTTTTAAGGTTAAGAGTTTGGTTCGGGGGAAAGCTTCCCCCGAACCAAAGCAAACGAGAACATTATATTTTGACATTTGACCTAACCAAGGGCAGATTACCAAAACGGACCTCCCGTAGACATAAAAAAAGGCATCGAGCGTTGGAGCGGGATAGAGGTATAGGATTTGAACTTTCAATTTAAACGGTCATAAAATTATTCAAAGTTCAAATTAACGAAATAAAAAATAAAACACACACATACACACATTCTTCAGGCTTCCAGCCCACCGCCCCTATCAATCTCTAATCTAAGCTCCTCCTTTCTTCCGCCATCGAGAGGTTTCAAGTCGTCATCCACTCCCGGAAAGTCCGATACTTCACTCTTCTCTCTTCTCTCAGATCTTTCACTCCTGAGGTAAGCTTCACGTTTCACGAAAATTCCTCCATTTTCCGTGACTGTTGAAATTTGTGAAACCAAGCATGAAATTATTACTGAAATAATTTTGATTATATTTAATTTCCGGTTATTTTATTTTGGGGCTGGGAGGTAAGAAAAAGGAGCGGTTTTTATTTTATTTTATTTTATAAAAGATTAAATCCTTCTTTAGGGAATGGATTTTGAAGTTTTATTTATTTATCTAAATTAATTTTTAAAATTATGCAGTGACTCAGCGACTGGGTGAGTGATGATGGCGGATATTGGAACAGAGATAGAGAAAGTAGAGATGTTGGATCCAGAAACGGAGTTTCTGGCATCGAAGCGAGAGACGGGGAACGAGTGGGAGCTGTTTAAGGAGAATGTAAGGCCCCTGAAGAGAGGCCGCAAAATCGCCATCTTAAACGACGCTCTCAAAGCTCACAACGACAATGACATCAAGAAGTCCCTCTTTGACCAACGAAGGTCTTCCTTCTTCAAATTTCAAATCTTTATATGCTTTTCAATGCGTGTGCCTGTTTAGCTTAATTTTTTTAAATTTAATCCTCATTAGGCGATTGATTCAAGCGATTGACGAGTATAAAGGAGAAGACCCTCTCCACCCATGGCTTGAGTGAGTACTACTGACTGACTACTCTCTACTTTCAATTTTCAATTTTATGAATAATTTCATTTCCATATTTTCGATTTCGTAAATGGGTTCTTGTTGCAGAAAAAAGAAAAGAAAAAAGATGTAGGATTTTTAGTTCTTGTTTGAGACAGTCCTTTATATTTTCCTTAAATTTCTCCGTCTCTCTCTTAAAGGTGTATCAAGTGGGTTCAGGAAGCATTTCCACCTGGTGGAGATTGCTCAGGGTTGGTTGTGATGTACGAGCAATGTGTGCGTACATTTTGGCATTCAGACCGCTACAAGGATGATCTCCGCTATCTCAAAGTCTGGTTGGAATATGTGGGTTCTTTTTCTTTCCCATATTCATATCTAAGATTAGTTTGTTTTTAGTTCTAGCTGTCCACTTGTAGGTGCAAGTTTCAGATCCTCAATTGTCTAATAATTATGTTGCGATTGAAATTGGTTCTGCAGGCTGAAAATTGTGCGGATGCTCAAGTCATATACAGTTTTCTCGATGCAAATGAAATTGGGAAGACACATTCTGTGTTCTACATATCATATGCTTTGGTCATGGAATCCAAGAACAAGATGAAAGCTGCCAATGAAATATTTAATCTTGGAATTTCCAGGTTACCTTATGTTGATTTTGGTATCTCTTTCTCATGTTTTTTACACATTGTAGACCTGCATTAACTATTCCAATTTACAGGAATGCTCGCCCCATAGAAAAATTGAAGGATGCATATAGGAAATTTATTGCTCGCTCAATGAGCAGACCAAAAGCTTCAGAGGTGTGCAGACCCATTTACTGTTAATGCAGGACACATTATAGTTTTGTTTTCTCCAAGCCATTTACTGTTCAATCTTATTGAACTTGTAGGAGGATTCAATGGAGAAACGCTTACCCATCCGAAGCTTTGGAACTGTCCTTTCCAGGGGAGAAAATAGTAAGTTTCCTTGCTATTTTTTGGATTATTATATTAGTGCATTATTTATGTCCTTGCCATGTTGCAGGAATGCAGACTTTGGACAGCTCTGATCTTTCTAGGAAGGATTCAAAGCCAAAAGGGTGAGCATATATAGTTTTTTAAATGCTTTATTTTCTCTAGGTTGGTTGGAGTATTCTGAGTAAAAGTATTTGACTGACCTGTAATGAACCTCAAGAACTTGTTAATGTATCCTGTAAACCCAAATAAGCTGTATGTTCATTATCAGTTCAATATGCCAATTTTTGCACAAGCAATTAGATTTGAAAAGAAGGTGGTTAATGGGTTTTTAGTTTTGATAAGTTTCTTTTTCTTGAAAATGGAAATTGATAGTAATGCGCATAGCATAGCATAGAAACTCAGCTTTCTTTGTTTGGTTTCTGTAATGTACAACGAAAGTGATTTTGAACACATCTTCATGCCATTAATTAATCATAAGATGATTTATATTTTTGCAATAGATAACTTTGTGCAACTATGCGGCAGATCAATTAAGTATCTATTTAGCTTTTCTGGTTATTTAAATTTTCCATTTTCATAACTTATTTCACAATTTTGATCTCTGGACATATAAACTTCCTTTTGCTCTGTTGTGCTTTGTATTATTCACGACTCTGTACATTCCATAGTCTTCTCTCTTTCTTGTTCTTCTTTTTATCAATCTTCTTCCCTTCAGTGGATTATAGTGAATATATGCACATACTTTGTTTTCCCTGCGGACATGCTATTGTGTTGATGACCTGTTAGCAAACTGGTGCATGAGATCTTATGTTGCCCTGGTTTTATAGGGATCGCGTTCTGGCTCCGATTAACATTAACATTTATAAGGATTCAAATTCTGCTGATATTGGCTCTCATCACCATCCAGATGTGTCAAAGCCAGACGTGAATTCTTGGCACAGCCTTGGACCTAGAGCAGAGAGAAACAAAGAAAATAATGCAATCCCTACCAAGTGGAGATCATACAAGGTTTCCTCCTCTCCCCTGCTCCAATATATAGTTGATACTTTGATATCCTCACAGTAAACTTGGTTTAATTCTTTCAGATTCCACAGAGACCTGGATCTAGAACTGGAGGAGCAGGTGCTAGTAGTGCCTGCATTGAGGTTTTTGTTGATGAAGAATGTGAAGAGTGAGTAATGTGACAGTCTTCGATAAGTTCAACCATTAGTTTTTTTAATCCCATTTTGGGTACTCTTTTAAAAAACCGGAAGTCATGTTAAGTTGTTGCAACAATCTAGAGCAGATTCTGTTCTGTGGTACTGCATTTTAGTTCCCAAACTCTTGATTAAAAGCTCTTTCAAACGTGGAGGTTGCAAGTCAATCTTTTATGGTCTATTATCACTTTATTGACTTGTTACAGTTTCGTTACCAGGACACATAGAAAGAATGTTGAGAGTGCCAAATCTTCAGCCTTGCAGCTTCGACAGGAGGAAGAGCGAGCTCTCAAAAGGTAAGCGAACTAGTTTCTTGAGACATTTGGTTTGAATCTGATAAGCTGTTCGTTTCAATTGCTAAGAAGCATTTGCTTGTGTTGCTTTGTGGCAGGGAAACGGATTTGTTGCGGGAGGACCCCTTACGCAATTTCCCTTCCAACAGCCTTCCTAGATGACAGCAAAAAACATTTTGCTTGTAGCAGTGTTGCGTGATACATTCTTGAATCAACGCTTTATCTCTAAAGTTGGATACGTTAAGATTGTGTTTACTTTTCAAGGTTGAGAGAGTCTTCGGCAAACAGACTCATGGCCTGTGATATATGTTTGTTTGACAGAGTTTTTATGTTTGTGATATTGTTTGTGTATGCAAAGAGAACACCTTCTAATCTGCTTTAGAATTTCTTTTTTTTCTTTTTGGTCTGAACCACGAGATGGTTCTGGATGAGCCCCAACTATGGGTGACACCTTTAAGCCCAAGCCTAGTAGTATCTTGATTCACCAAAGCAAACTCTCATGCCAAGCCTGTGCAACATCAGTGCACCATCTCTAACTCTTGTCTAGCTGCTAGAAACATCAACGCAAAACATGCAGCAGCTGGAAGAAGAACAAAGTACTCCCTTGGGACTTGCTTCTCCCTCTGGATGCTTTGGGCCTAGTTCTCACTAACTTAGAAAAAGGGGCAACGAAGGCTTGATTCACCACTCTATGGCGGTCCAAGAATCAACAAGCTCGGACGAGCATTTCGATGGAAAAAGGCCCCAACGATGCCATGATTTCCATATGCAAGTCAAATATTTTGCAATGATGCCATCTACAAGCCGTATCTGACTCAATATCTCAATTTGATTTGGGGGCTGGATCTATGAGGAGAAAAAGAGAGAATCAAGGTGGAGGTTGGTCGACGTAGGCTGGGCTGCGATGGCTTGGGAACATCTTAGGGTGGGGGTTATTGTCATGCTTGTTTATCGGGTTGAGATTTTAAAGAGAGATCAAAGCATAATGGAGAAGATAAGGGGGGAGGGGGGGAGGGGGGGAGGCATGGGGGGGCATCGTCTGAGGGTGAAAAAAAATAGAAAGGGGGAGGGGGCTGGGTGGGGGTTGGTTTGGGGGTAGAGGGTGGCTTGCGGTGGGTGGTGGTCATTGGGAATGGGAGGAGAAGAAAACACGGTAGAGGGGAATTGTCAAATTGAAAGAAGTGTACAAATTCAGGGGTATCGACAGTTAACCTTAGAAAAACTATAAAATCTCTTTTAAAAAATAATAATAATAATAATGATGGTGTTTTTGAGTTTTTAAAAATGGGCCTACTAAACAAGTTTTTGTGGCTTTAGACTTAAAATTTATTTTTGAGTTTATAAAATTAGATCCAAGTAGGATACCAAATAGACCCTTATCAATTGAGCTTTCATATAAGGAATTCATTAGACATGGTTTGAATTTCAAACAATACGCATTGAGATTATGGTCATTTGGCTTTTGTGTTACTTATAAAAAGTGATTTCTGAAAATATATAAAGTCAAAAAAGTACTTCTTTGTAAACTTCTTTATAGTCAAATTGGGAAGGTGATTTCTAGTACCTCGTTGTATTTATGACTATAATGTTAGTAATACTACTATCACAATTTAACACGAATATGCATGAAGTTTTCGTTGTATTCTAGTACCCAAATTTTTATACACTTAAAAAAAAAAAGTCCACTAAAGACTTTTAAACTTCTTATAATTCTGATTGAATGTGCATGGACTTTTAAACTCTTATGAACAAATCACAATTTAACACGAGAATGACTAATTAGAAGATGACTCAGTAAACCCTACACGAGTCATAAGATGACTCGTTCTTCTTTTTTGCGCTCAAAATGAGTCTTTCCATCTAGGGCCGGCCGGGGCTATATTTTTCAAATTTTATAAGTTGAGTGACATCTGACATGGCGAAAGGATCCCTCGTGTAATCGAAAGAGCTCTCTGATTGCCTTGCTGGCGAGATACTATTGGTCCGGTGATTTCACCACTGCAAATCCTATGTGGCTCAAGATCATCATCGCACGTGTCCTTCTTGCGTTTCCTTGCTCACCAAGAGTCTGAGTCTGATTGGCGCAGAGCGGACGACGCGTTTCCAGGAAAAGTAAACACCACCTAAATATCTAGATGGTCGTCTATGCTATTATACATATAGCCCTCCTCTAGGGTCCTCGCATCGTCTAGGTTAGAGTTCGACTTCGAATTAGATTTTTGTAGATATTTCTTTGCTTATGGAATTGGAAGGAGATGTTGGATTTCTGGACAGCGAGAATGACATAATCGGAGAAATCGATTGGGATATTTTGTTCGACGGCTCAAATACCTTGGAGGATGTGTTGGAGTTGGAAAATCCAGTCGTCACGGCGACTGATTCATCAACACCATCACCGTCACCATCATCAACGGTGGAGGATGCTCCCTCCAACTCATCCCCGGATTGGATCGGTGAGATCGAGACCATTCTGATGAAAGACGACGATGTCAACGGCAACCAGGTTGATTCGGATTCGGGGGAGCCCACTAATGGTGAATATTATGAGAAGTTTTTGGCGGACATACTCGTCAACTCGCCTTCCACCGATGCCGATTCCAACGCCTCCGCCGACTCTGAGAAGGAGAAACTCGACCGATCCCCGCTCAACGATGACGATGACGATGACGCTGCCGACGCTGACGCCGACGATCCTATCTCCAAGAAAAGGAGAAGGTACCATTAATTTGTTATTTATTATTTATTAATCCTAAATCTTCGTTTTAGGGTTTTGAACATTTATTAAAATTAAAATCAGAGTATGCTTATTGTAAATTTATTTATATTTTTAATTACTGTGGTTGTGTAAATAATTCTATGAGAGAATGATTATTATTTGCTTAACAAGTCTGGTTTATTGAATCCTTTAATGAGAGATGAAGTGAAATATGTTTTAGGCAAAGGGCCAAAAATAGATAAATAAATTATTGGGGAAATAATAATAATTACGATGTGATATGATAGTAGTGAATGTGGTTTGGATTATTCCAGGCAGCTGAGAAACAAGGATGCAGCGGTGAGATCAAGGGAGAGGAAAAAGATGTATGTGAGGGATCTGGAGATGAAGAGCAAGTATTTGGAAGGCGAATGCAGAAGACTGGGGCGTTTGCTCCAGTGCTGTTACGCTGAGAATCACGCTTTACGCCTCGGTTTGCAGATGAACAATGCTTATGGGCATGGAAATGGTGTTTTGGCCACCAAGCAGGAGTCTGCTGTGCTCTTATTGGAACTCCTGCTGTTGGGTTCCCTGCTTCGGTGCCTGGACATCATGTGCCTCGTTGCTCTGCCTCTAATTCTGATGGCCGGACTAAGAAATCCACTGAACAACGTGGCGGCAAACAAAGATCTAGAAAGTGTGGATCTAAGGCCAAGAGGGGCAGCAAGTAAGATGTTTCAACATTCGGTGCTCCAATGTTTTTCTAAAAGTAGGAGATGCAAAGCGTCGAGGACAAAGATGAAACATAGTCGATTTCCTTGTTTATTGGGTTCTTATGTGAGCTTTGCTCTCCCCCTTCTAATGTTAGAAACTTAAGGTTGGTAGGTTGGATTATTTATATATTTTTGTTTTCCCTTTTGTCTATGAATAATGGTTTTGCACTATGATATGGAAATCCTCCTACTATGACTTTTGTATTTCTTCTTGATTGATTTACAATGTGCTCATTATCTACAAGTTGCTTTACAAGTTATATGCAAATTCAGATGCAAATGTCTATAGGAATCATCAGACAACTATTTGGTGGGGGTTTGTAACTGATTTCTTTATCTATTTTTCCTTGTTATATTTTTTCTATGCAAGATGGAGTAGGGATAACCAATATTTAGCTGGATTGTATTGGCAGCATTTGTACTTGCCTCATTATCTCCGTAAGCATTTTACTACTACTGTTTTTTGTTTTGATCATTTTCGATGTTGTATCTGGTAGAGTAGAGCCTTAACTCCTCGAGGCTTCGGCTTTCTAGGTTGCTGGCCTGTTTTGGGTTCTTCTCGTTTTTGTGTCTATGCGTACCAAAAGCTTTATAAAAAAAAACAAGCCCAAAGGAGGAAGGACTTTCGTCGAGCACTTGGTGTGCACCCTTTTCGTCGAGCACTTGGTGTGCACCCAAGGGGTCGCACACGGACTGGCCACAACCAATATTCCGTCATTCCAAGGGGTGTCCAACCCCTCTTGTATTGTGTGCCATTACACCCTCTTTGTATTGTGTGCCATTACAATATGAACTTTTAATTTTTATTTTTAACACATGAACTTTATAAATTGCAATCCACCATCCATGTCAAATGGAGTTTACTGAAATCCGAAGGGTTCCTAGTAATGAAGTGGTCGTGAACAACATTTTGAATGTCCATCCCGCTTCCTGGAATGCACCTTCAGGTGATTTTGTGAAAATAAATGTGGATGGAGGATGGATTGGTGACACTCTGAAAGGTGGCGTTGGGGTTGTTATTAGAAATACTGGTGGTCAATTTGTTGGGGGTTTAGCTGGTCTTATTTGCTGTGATTCAGCACTAGCTGCGGAAGCTCATTCAGCAATTAAAGGGCTTGCTTTGTCTGCTAACCTTGGCTTTAGAGATGTCATTGTGGAAACAGACTCAAAATTGCTCATCAATGGGATAAATGGTGACTTTAGAAACAAAGTGTGGTCCATTATGCTCCTTCTTGAGGAGATTCACAGAATATGTGGGTCTATGCATGAGGTTCGATGGAGCTGGGTGCATAGAGATTTAAATTGGGCGGCTCATGAGGTAGCCATGATTGGAGTTAGAGCTATGGAGCTGGAAAGCTGGGTCTCACGACCACCATTGTCTCTGGTGCAAGTTCTGGTCTCGGATGGACTCCCATGTCCTCCTTAAGTTTCTTTTTGTTTTGGATTGAAAGTTTTTCTTTGCTGGGTTGTATAGATTCAGTTGAAAGGCTTTCAGTTTTGCTTTCTTTCCTTTTTTGTAAGCTCTTCTGCCTTTTTCCGGCCTTGGAATGAAGTTTCAGTCTTGACCAAAAAAAAAAAAAATCCATGCCAAAATTTGTCAAAGTTTTCATTAAGTTTTAAGGGCATTTTCATCAATTCATTGTGACTAGTCATCTTCATTCGCACGATCATATCCAATTCATCAGATCCATGCTTGGGCTAGAGTGGGCTTTAGTCTAGTGTTAATTTTGGAGAGAGATAAGTTAGGCTTAGTTGTATAAACTCAATCCAAAAAAAATTAAATAATAGTCCACCACTTTTTCTACAGCCAAATAATTCAGTACTTTGATTGCTAAAGTTGCTCTTTTTTTCTCTCTCTCTTTGGTTTATTCAACTTTTGATTTGGCTCAAACAATGTTTATATGTCGCTCTGATTTTGTTTTTTCAAATTTATTGAAGTTGCCTCTTTTGGAAATTTTGAAATATGGACCCTCCTTAACTAAACCACTTCGCTGAGCCAAAGTCCTCGAGCTTCAAATTATTCTTCGTCTGAGCCTCTGAATATTGGTTTTTCTAGGTTTTCTTTGTTTGTTGTAGGTTTTTTTGTTCACATATCTCTCTGAAAATAGTAAACAACACGTATAAGTTCAACGTGAGGATATTCCATTTTCCAAAATCTAAAATCCAACTAGATTTCTCAAGCCCAAAAAGCCGAAGTTTTTGAGATGGACGGAAACAAAGACGATGCCTAGAAATGCTTCAAAATTGGGAAAGAAGCTTTGGAAGATGGGGATCGAACCCGTGCGCCCTAGAATTCCTAACTAAAGCTCTCTGTCTCGATCCGACGCTACCCATCGACGACTGAATCGGGGGTTTGTTCGGTTCTCATGTTTATCCGCCAACTGAATTTCAAAACCCTCCAACGAATACCCAACCAACGGTATGCTAGCTGCTGTTACTACCATTCATTCAGACATGAGCACCAACCGTTCGACCAAAATCCCCAACCAAATGCAGCCTCAACTAACCGCTCTATGCTCAACTACTTGCACAGAAACCTTCCACTTAGAGCCCTTGACATGTTCAGTAAGCAACTTCAACTACATTTGTCTCATAACATCGATGAAGTTACCGTTACCCTTGCTGTCAAGGCCTGTCAAGGGGACCCCAAACCCGGATGCCAAATTCACGGGTTTGCAGTTTCTTCTGGGTTTGCTTCGTATACTACAGTTTCAAATTCTTTGATGAGTATGTACACTAAAGCTGGACAGTTTGATTGTGCCTTACTTATCTTTGAGACTGTGTGTTATACTGATATAGTTTCTTGGAATACTATTCTTTCGGGGTTTCGAACAAGTGAAGGTGCATTGAATTTTGCTCTTAGGATGAATTTTAATGGAGTTATTTTTGATCCAGTGACTTATACTACGGTTCTTGCTTTTTGTGCGGATCATGAAGATTTTCTATTTGGATTACAACTGCATTCTCTTATATTTAAGTCTGGTTTAGATGGTGAAGTTTTTGTTGGAAATGCACTTATAAGTATGTATTCGAGGTGGAGGCGGTTAATTGAAGCTAGGAGTGTGTTTGATGAAATGAAGAATAAGGATCTGGTTTCATGGAATGCAATACTATCAGGTTACTCCCAAGAGGGAAACCATGGGCTTGAAGCGATTTTTGTCTTTATTGAGATGGTGAGAAAAGGGATGGGGTTAGATCATGTCTCATTTACTAGTGCAGTTTCAGCTTGCGGTCATGAAATGAATTTAGAACTTGGGAAACAGATACATGGCTTGACAATTAAATCAGGATATGGAAGTCATGTTTCAGTTTGTAATGTATTGGTCTCGACATATTCAAAGTGTGAGTTTACTCAAGATGCAAAATTAGTCTTTCAGTGCATGAATGATCGCAACGTAGTGTCTTGGACGACTATGATTTCTATAGACGAAGAAGATGCCATCTCTCTATTTAATGAGATGAGATTGGATGGAGTATATCCAAATGATGTTACATTTGTTGGACTAATCCATGCTATATCAGCTAGGAAGTTGGTGGAGGAAGGCGAAATGATTCATGGGTTTTGCATAAAGACTGGATTTTTATCAAAACATAATGTTTGCAACAGCTTGATCACCATGTATGCTAAGTTTGAGTCCATGCATGACTCCATCAAAGTTTTTGAGGAGTTGAACTGCAGAGAAATCATATCATGGAATGCTTTGATTTCAGGGTATGCTCAGAACGGGCTTTGTCAGGATGCACTAAAAACATTCTTGGTAGCAACTATGGAGTCAAAGCCAAACAATTATACATTTGGTAGTGTCTTGAGTGCAATTGGTGATGCTCATGATATCTCTCTGAAATATGGCCAACGATGCCACTCGTCCTTGATCAAACTTGGATTAGTGACTGACCCAATTATCGCAGGTGCTCTTCTTGATATGTATGCAAAGCGAGGAAGCATTTGTGAGTCCAAAAGAGTTTTCAGTGAGACGCTTCATAAAAGTCAGTTTGCTTGGACTGCAATAATATCTGCATATGCTGGGCATGGAGACTATGACTCAGTGATAGAATTGTTCAAGGAGATGGAGAGAGAAGGGGTAAGACCTGATTCAGTCACATTTCTTTCTGTACTAACAGCATGCAGCAGAAAGGGAATGGTGGAGATGGGCCGTCACCTCTTTCACTCAATGGTGAAAGACTATCATATTGAACCATCTCCTCAACATTATTCAAGTATGGTGGACATGTTGGGAAGGGCAGGGAAATTGGAGGAAGCAAAGGAATTGATGAGTCGGATCCCGGGACAGCCAGGGTTTTCGTTGTTGCAAAGCCTGCTTGGGGCTTGCAGGATCCATGGGAATGTGGAGATGGCGGAGAGAGTAGCTGATACATTGATGAGATTGGAACCTACAGAATCAGGTTCTTTTGTGTTGATGTCCAACTTGTATGCTGAGAAAGGGGACTGGGAAATGGTGGCAAAAGTGAGGAAAGGGATGAGAGATAAAGGAGTGAGAAAGGAAGTGGGATATAGTTGGGTGGATACTGGTGATGCTGATGGTTCCTTGTATCTGCATGCGTTTTCATCAGGTGATACATCCCACCCACAGTCGGGGGAGATACATAGAATGACAAAATGTCTAGGATTAGAGATGAAAATTTTGAAAGAGAACATGTGGGAGACAGAATCACTGAAAATGGACTCCTTCTCAAGGCCCTCACTTTGAAGGCTGAATCTGTACATGTAAAACTTCAAAAGTAACTCATGATTGTTACGAAGTTTTGTAGCCAAATTTCAAAAAAAAAAAGAAAACCGAAAACAAAGGAAATTCATCTTCATGTAACATACAAATGAATTTTCGATGTGAACGAGAACAAAAGGTGATGTTTTTATTTTCCTATCATTTATAACTGCCTATAAGAGTTCTTAGACTGCTCTATTTGCTGATAAATAATCAATAAATCTAAAACTGTTATGTATTTTTGGGACCATTTCATTCTTGCGTTTTTTTTTGGGGGTTTCACCATGTTCTTGCAGGTATAAAGTCTGCGGCTTCCTTTTGCGGTTTCATGGAATGCAATACTAGGCATTTATTTATGACTCAGTATAGATGTTTTAATTTTAATTAATTTGTTGTCATTTTCATGACTTTTGTATGATTTTGGGTGTTTCAGATCTCAGGTTTAATGAGTTTCATGACTTAGATTTGTTTTACATGGTCAAATCTATGCGTAAATAAAATACCATATAGATTAGGACTTTTTTTGGAAAGTTATTGCTAAGAAATGAAGATTTTTAAGCATATAAATAGGTTTTCATATGTAAAAACAAAAACTATTTCTTTTTATATTGTCTGGTCTCCCTCCCATTGTTAATATATGTTTTGAAAAGCTTTCTGCTATCGTATCAACCGATGCAGGGTGGCCATTATTTTTTTCTACTTTTTAGTATTGGTTGTTCAACTGAACATGCAAATCAAACGACTTTTGATGTCAGAGACTATGGAGCTGTCAGTGGAGGCCACATAGATGATTCCCAAGTAGGCAAACTCTGTTTTCCTTTCGACTTACAGTTGATTTTCTTTCTCAATGATGATATAAGTTATTATCCACTAATAAAAGTCATATTATTGAGATTACAGGCATTCTTGAAGGCATGGAGTGCAGCATGCACATCAGAAACTGAAAATCCTACTTTAATCGTTCCACCAAGATTTCTGCTCAATCCAATCGTTTTCAGTGGTCCATGCAGGGCCAAAAACATCAATTTTTTGGTGGGTCAAAGATCTTTCTGAGATATATATGCTTCTTTTTTCTGGGTTGGTGCAATACTTTATCAAATAACATATTTTGGGTTTCTATTTTGACAAATGATTGATGAATTATATAATTTCGTTTCACTGCAAACATAATTGGTGATTTTCCATAAATAGATATTAGGGAGACTTTTGGCACCAGACTCCCCTGGAGCATGGAAGGGGCTTGACCCAAGTCAATGGCTAGCTTTCAATGGTGTAAGCGGTCTCAACATTGCTGGCCCTGGTAGAATCAATGGAAGGGGCAAGGCCTGGTGGGATCAGTCATGCAGGGATTGCCCTTGCCTGGTTCGTACATTTCCAAATTTTACATTAAAAAAAATCACCTATTCATATTAATATAATAGTGTAAATTAATCTGCTCTGCTCTCTCTCTTTCTGATATAGTTTGTTGTTGTTGTTGTTGTTGCCAAATGACAACCTTTCAGATGGGATGCAGTACATTGGCCCCAACTGTAAGTAATAATAATATTCTCAGGGCCTAAATAATTATCATATCATCTTGAGATTGAAGGGACATTTGACCGTAGTTTCGGGGCACTAAAACAATTAAGCCTTATTATATGATGGTGAATTGCAGGCAGTGAAGTTGGTGTCGTGTAAAAACAGCAGCATCAGTGAGATTCATTTCGTAAACAGCTCTCAAACCCATGTCCTAATCAGAGAGTGTGATGGGATCAACATAGAAAATGTACTGATTGAAGCTCCAGAGAGGAGCCCCAACACTGATGGCATTCACATCTCAGACTCTCACAATGTGGTTATCACCAACACCAGTATAGGCACCGGTAATTAACAATTTCTGAGTCTTTTTTCTCAACATTCCAACTTTTGGCCTTTTTTTCTTCTCTCTATCAGCAATGACTTATTTTGATCCACAGGTGATGATTGTGTGTCCATTGGAGACCATACATCCAATATAGTCATCTCCTATGTTAAATGCGGTCCGGGTCATTGAATTAGGTAATATGTTGTTAATTACATTGTCTTTACTAGATTAATCAACGTTATTAATCCCTAAATTAGATGTCCTTTCAACTGTGTTTGAATACAACAGCATTGGAAGCTTAGGGAGGAGTGGGAATTTTGTTCAGGTAGAGAACATTCATGTAAGTAAAGGTATACCTCCAAGGAACTACCAATGGAGCTCAGATCAAGACGTGGCAGGTACTAAATCAAAGTGCTATACATGCTCACATTTTAAGTTTGACTGCCTTATTATGAGTAACATTTTCTTCCTATATTTACATGTTCATAAAGGTCGGCAGAGGCTATGTCCGGTGGGTCACATTCGAGCACAATTTTTTTGGGTCTGTCAAGAACCCCGTTATTATCGATCAAAACTACTGCAACAAAAGTGGTGCCTGCAAGGAAATGGTAAACCAGTCACACCCCTTTCTTTTTCTTGATTTCTAACTTGGTTTTAAATCTTGTTCATTTGTGCTACTTTTTGGTTGTAGGAAACTGGGGTTCACATAACTGATGTCTCCTTCAAGCAATTGTATGGGACATCTAGTTCCCGTGTAGCTATGAATCTGAATTGCAGTCTCTTGGTTGCTTGCACCAGGATATATTTGAAGTCAATATGCCTTAGATCTGCTCTAGCATGGCAGAGCGTGACTTCTAACTGCAACAATGCGCCCGGCATTGCCTTCGGAGTAATTCAACCAGACCCCTGCCTCCAAATTTGATCTCATGATGATTTACCATGTTGTATAAGAATTTGATTCATTTAACTAATTGATTCACTTATCGAACCGATGGATTATCGTGTACAAAAAAGATTAGAAGAATGCTAACATATAACTCTCGACCATCGCAATAGAAAATTATATGCTTCATGTACCCAGGAAAAAAGAAAAAAAGAAAAGTGTTAATCAAACAAACTAATTCTGATGAAGTTGAACTACTTGGGGAAATCAATTGAACAAGGAAAACGATTTTACTTGTTAATGGGGAATATGTAATTGCAGCTTCTTTTGAGCAAAGGACAATAGCAGACATGATAATCCGATTAACTAAAAACTGTCACTATTTCCAAGTAAATTGAAAAACAAATCCATCACTCTAACTCGTTGATACCCATAGCTTGTCACTATCATCAGTATATATTTCAACATACATTCATTTGACATAACTTGTATTTTCTGCTCACTAGTGCCTGACAATCTCAAGGATATGCTGAATTTCTCATTAAGCTATAACTTATAATTAAAGGAGTTTTATCAAAACTCACTTAACACAACAAATTGACACACATTATTGAAATGATTAAACATTTCAATGAAAAATCTGGAGGAAAAAGAAAAAGAAAAGACAAGGAGCACCTTTTCTGAATATTGTCAGATGATGAAACACAAACTTGTCTGTTGATTTAATTAATATTTCTTTTTAGTAACCGTTGGATGAAGAGGTATAAGACATCTATATATTGACAATTCGTCCGAAACAGAAAATATACAATTTGGAATAGCATTGTCATCTATCTAAGTCGGTATTCTGTAATTTAACACCAAAAAAAGGGTATAGCGGTTTTTTCAATTTAAAAAAAAAAAAAAAAAAGAACAGCCGGGCTGCTATACTGGGGTTTTCAATTTTTTCTTAATAAAAAAATAGTACAGCCGGACGGCTATACTACGGTTTTTTTTAAAAAAGGGTATAGCCGCGCGGCCATACTGGTTTGACACGTGGCGCACTAGGCGGGTTCTTCTTTTGTTTTAAATAGTACGGCCGCACGGCTATACTAGTTTTTCCTCTTTTTTTTTTTAACCCAAAAAGCATATAGGCCGCTTAAAATATTGTATTTAAAGAGTATAGCCGCACGGCTATACTGTTAAAATTTCTATTTATAGAGTATAGCCGTGTGGCGGTACTGTTTAGCAAAGACAGTAATTTTGTATTTTAAAAATATTTATATAAAAATAAAAAAATAAATAAAAAAACAAGAAAACGTGTCCCGACGAAAGTTCGTCAGCAAGGGTCTATGCCGACAAATATTTGCCGGATTAGACATCTCCTGACGAAATTTATCTGTACCGATGAATTGTCGTCTGCATAAGTCTAATCCGGCAAATTTTCGCCGAGATGGATATGTGTCGACGGAATTTCGTCGGGAAAGGTTTTTAAAAAAAATAAATTTAAACTTAGTATATTTAATTCAATAAAATTTTGTTTATAGTAATTAAATAATATCTTAGCCTAATTTAATTACTTTCATTAGTAATTATGTTTTATTTATTATTTCTTTAGTGAATAATTATTATTAAATATTTTAGTTAACTTCATAAATTATATTACTCGATAAATAGTAATTAATTTTTTTAAATTTTTTTCTTTAACAAAATATTTAGGGTTAATTTCAATTTGGTACCCTGAAGATGAACTCTTAAGGCATGTTTGTCCCCATGTTTTCAATTTTAACAATGACGCAACTTCACATTTAAGAAACCCCTGCTTTGAAGTTGGCTTAAGAAATATCTTTCATGATCTACACAAATCAATGCATCCAAAACATGGAGTGCCATTTGTTGTAATATTTTTATTCTACCATTCGAATTTTATTGTCAACTTCTAGAATCAAATTGAAAGATTATTACATTTTATAAATTACTCTTAGTATTACTTAATGAGTAAAGCCACAATTGTAGTGTTTTTATAGGAAAAATACACTTTTATTTAGTCCCACATTGGAAGGGAGTTGTTTCCTTTCAAGGTTTATAAACACCAACACTATAGAGATACTTAATAGGGTATGAGCCTAGTGGGGCCTCATCTTGGTTTGGGGCGTGGATATATAATTGGGTGATTGTCAATTAATGCTTCATTAAGTGTTCCCACCAAATAATAGTATGCCTCTAGGAACAACTGTGACTTCAATCCACGATGAATAGAGCTCAAAACTAATTTGTTGAGTTGGGCTGGATAAAATTACAATAAGAGACATATTGCTAATCAAATAAGGATTATTTTCTTAAAATCCTAGTATATAAGGAGACTATAAATATATATAGCCACACAAGATATTCAAGGTAATTTCAAAACCCGACAAAAATCCCCTCTCTCTCTACCGTCGCCATTCCCTCTCTTCTCTCTCCCACAAGGCTAAGGGCCACCACAGATGGCTCTAGCCATCCGGCTCTCCTTATGAGATAAAACTCCATCCATTTTAATTATTTCCGCATCTTTTTTCAAAGATTCTAATTGAACTAACTTAGGCATCAGCGGGTCTTTGGCCAACACCCTCCGGGTGTGGTACTCCTATTTAAATTTTTGATGTCTACTCAGTTAATTTTAGAGTTTGTTTAGTAGTACTCTATATAAGTTGGGATATATATGTCACTTTTCAATTCAAGGTGATTTGTGTATATATATATTTTTAAAACTTTAATTGCAAATGTGTAGAATAAGTCGTTGGCTCTAGAATTGTTGTTTGTCACATCCTCGTTGAAAAGTATTAATTTGTCCCTTATATATAAGGAGTCATTTCTCCATCGACATATATTATAATCCTAATAAACTAATAAAGAGATGAAATTGATGTTATTGCAAGAAGCAATCCATGCCTACAGGCTACAACACACACAACTATATATATATTATGCTCTCGGTCAACTTACTAAATAAATTTATTTATGTCAAGGGTACAAGTAGTTACTTATAAATCTACATATATATAGGATTAATCAAAGAAAATTGATACAATGAGGACTGATACCCAACGTGAATTGTTCAAGATGGCTCACTGATGTGATTGATACGTCCCTATTTTAAAAAGAAACCATTAATTCCAATATCAGTAGGCAAAACTTGAACCATTCAACATGACTTGGCTTAATTGAATGGCTTGTATCTTAAAATGGTATTTCTTTAAGGAAAAATAGGGAAGCATTGACTCACTAAATGGTATCCTATAATAATTGTCTCAAAAATCAACTTAGGGGACAAATCAAAATC